GTTATTTAAAGAATAGACACCAGTTAAAAAAAGAGAGCTGAAAACTTGTAGTATTTGCGTAACACTTCAGACTGCAACCAAACAGTTGCTGGTTGATTTTCACGCATTTGAGGAAGTTGTGACTTGTTGCTCACAATGTGGACAGGCCTTTATTGTGTGACTTGTTAAACACTCAAAAAATTCAGCATTTGTTTTAAATATGTCTGATTTATTGCGAGCGGCTCAGGTGTAGCTGGTATTAAATTTAACTCATGGCAGTGACTGATTTACATCCAAAAAGGCCTGCAGTGGGTTTCTAAGCACTTTGAAACCTTTTTTGTAATCTATGTAGGATATGAGAAGAGGATCTCCTGTAAATAGTGTTGGGATTTAATTTTCTTTCCATTTTAAGCTGCGGTGGAATAACAGAATATTGGAGCGTCCCTGAGGAACTGTGGGTTTCTACAGATAACAGATTAGAAATGTTGGTCGGAACCGCATTAAAACGGGCTTAACCTACACTTTAATGGGCTTTGCTGCAGATGTGGGAACAGTCCATTCAGGATTGTGTGTTGTGTAGTCGCCTCAGTGCACACACTGTAATTGTACATTTGACCTACATTGCTTCCTAAAAAAGAATAAATAAAAATCTTCCCTTGCCGTTATTGTGTGTTGCCTGCTTTTCTAAACACACGTTTCAGCTTTTTAAATCATATTCTTTTACTGAATTGATCGAATATTTATGGTGCAAGTCACTTAACACTGCAGCTGGACATTATTTGCTCATAAAATCAGTCTTTATTTCTGCCGTAATGTCTTATTCTTCATCACCATAACCCAGAATCCATATCATCAATTAATTGGTTTCTAAAATATGGATGTTTTGGGTTTGAGGTGCTATAATGATCAGAAAATTTTAAAATTTTGCATAAAACCAAATTTTCCTCCAGATAAGAATTGGAGAAGCTCAAATTTCTTCACCTCAGAACCCAAACAGCTTAAATACAAAAATAAATAACCTCTGCTTTTATTTTATTCCTGCAAGTCCCAATGCTATATTATGCAATTCTCATAGCATAATCCCCAGTAAAACTATCATGTTTTCACAATATTAATAAAAACTTTTAAACAACTGATAAGTGCGTCCCGTTATGTATTAGCTCTTGTGTGAAACAGCTTGTAGCAAGCTAACTGTGGCTTTAAAGCAACAGCATCTTGGTGCAGTTCTTTCTAAACGTTTTGAACTATGGAACAAAATTGTCAGTTTAAACGTCATCAGGAGCTGTAATTTTATTGGAAGTCCTTTCATTTAACCTGCATACAATATTTTATTGAAACAAAGTAGAAAAGGAGGAAAAATCTTGCAAGTGTGTAACTGTTGTTGTAATAATGGCTACATTGTTACGGGAAACACAAATGGGGATCCAAGTACACAGACTTCTACTATCTTTTTATATTTGTCTGTATATTTAATACTTTTTTTTTCATATGAACCCATTTGTGTCTTTAATAAGGTTTATAATGATGAAACAAACCTACTTGCTACTCACTCTTCAAGTCCTTTTGTCTTGTAGCCCGTGCTGGAAAAGAGAAACTATTTTATGCTTTTGTTGTTTTAAATAAGTTGTCATAAATATCACTGTTGCCTTAATGTGTCCCTTCATTCTCTGATCTGCTGTCTGTTCACAGGTCCGTGGTTTTGGCTGACGGGCCGTGCAAACGCGGCTTGTAAGGGAACTCCACCGTGGTAAGAACATCGTCTTTCTGAAAATTGTTACATTTGCCTGAAGTTAATCAAAGCAACATCTTTAAGTTGACACTATTTTATCAAAGTTTAAACTGAGGATGAAATGATTAATTGGCTTAATCGTGATTAATCAGTTTACTTGATTAACCATCAACTAGTTTAGTAATCGATTAATCGTTAACTGGAATACAGACAAAAAAGGCAATTTGCTGAAAGAACAACACACTCAGAGCAGTAGTTAAGCCAAAACCTTACAAAAAATGTATACATTTTGCATTAAAGATAAAAGAACCTGAATAACTGATTATTAATATAGGTGTAAACACCAGTGAGGCTGTAAAACGTACAGTTTGGTTCTGTGCTGTGGTGTCCAGGTCGGTGGTGGTGTATGAGAGTTTGGTTCTGTGCTGTCTCCAGGTCGGTGGTGGTGTGTAGAGAGGAGCCCGCTCAGCCCCTCCAGGCCGCTCAGCCATGGCTCTCCTGGCCTACCTGAAGAGCCTGTTCATCCTGCAGCTGCTGATGGGCTTTGTGTTTGTGGTGAGCGGCCTCATCATAAACTTCATTCAGCTCTGCACCTGCATCCTCTGGCCCATCAACAGGCAGCTCTACCGCAGAATCAACTGCAGGCTTTCCTACTCTCTGTGGAGTCGTGAGTACCTCAAACTTCCGCTGTGTGCCACGTAACATTTGTACTGTGATGCCGGACATAGCCTTGTGGAAGCATTAGGCAAAATCCACATTTTGCACATTTTGGTGCATCCGTTTGAGTGTAAACTACTTCTAATAGCAGCCCAAGCTCTTTAAAAAACATCCAGCTGGTTTTTGGCACTGCAAAATCACAAAATCTTGATATTATTGTCTAGTTTCTAGCACAAATATCTTTCTTTTGTCTTATTTCAAGTGCACTATCTTACAAGTGACATTTTAGCAGGATACAGAGGTTTGGTTTAAGTAAATAATTCTTTAGTATTGATGAAAAAGTACTCGTTCCACTGGCAGACTATTTCACTTATAACAAGAAATATTTTCCATTTTACAAGTTAATTTATTTGCCAATATGTCATCAATATTAAGGAATTATTTGCTTATAATAAGCCTATATCTTTCTAAAAAAGTTACTTTTAAGTTAGTTTGTCTTATTTAAAGTGTACTAAGATATTTGCACTAGAAAATACATCAAAATTAGTTGGTAAGATTTAGTGTTTTTACCGTGTGGTGTCTGGAAAATGAGCCGTTTTATAAAATTTCCTGAATGTTGTCACGTTGAGCCGTTACCTAGCAACCACTGCCAGCCCAGCCGTCTCCTAGCAACCCAAGCAAAGTTCCAGCTTCTCTCTTACTTTACCCCCAGACATGTCTGCTGTGTTTCTTCGTTTTTATGATATTTGTTGTTCTCCAACAAACCTCTGAGGCCTTCATTCAACAGCTGGGTATCGCATCGGAAGTGAAGAAACGGGTTACACCCCTTCTATTTTATGTTTCTGCTCAACTCATTTTACTTCACAATTACACCCCATCTTATGTTGGATGAATAAAATACACTAATGTGATAAAATGTGAAAAAGAGTGTGAGGCTCTGCGTCTATAAAGAGAGCAGCAGAGTTTCTTTATTTACTGCACGTGTGACAGAGCAGACACCAGGCTGGATGCTGAACTTTCACCTACTTCCAAAACAGACTGTGTGACTGTTTTGGAACAGCGACCTTAAACACTGGAACAGATTCAGCATTTTTTACATTTTATCCTGATGTTTGTTTAATTCTGTCATTGTTTTTGTTTATTTTTAGAGCTGGTGATGATGCTGGAGTGGTGGTCGGGCACAGAATGCACCCTATACACCGACCAGGCTACGGTGGACAAGATCGGCAAGGAGCACGTCATCGTCATCCTCAACCACAACTTTGAAATCGACTTCCTGTGTGGCTGGACCATGTGTGAAAGATACGGGGTCTTAGGGGTCAGTTGAGCTCCAGACTGTGTCTACACACATTGGCAGGAAGCTCAGGTGGTTATTTTGACATCGTTCTAACTGTAAAAGTTTCTTTCCTGCCTCTAGAGTTCAAAAGTGCTGGCCAAACACGAGCTACTGAAGGTCCCTCTGATCGGCTGGACCTGGTACTTTCTAGAAATCGTTTTCTGCAAAAGAAAGTGGGAGGAGGACAAAGAAACGGTTTTTGCAGGCCTGGACAGGCTCAAAGACTATCCTGAATATATGTGGGTGAGTGCTGTATGTGGAACTGGGACGGTTTATTATTCATTTTAGATGTACAGGGGGTGCCATAACTTTCCATACATAGAAAAAATAAACATTTTATTTTGGACAACTGTTTTTATTTTTATGGGACTCTGTAATCGCTGCACGTCTTGGACCACTTCATGGTTGATCTGCAACATTTCCAGCTTTCTGAAACTTGCAAATAAGTTTTGCCACAGTGTCGTTTTGATGCTCTTTCCATGTTTTCTGTTAAAGTTTTGTGCAACTCTGCGACTGCTTCCCGATCCAGCCATCAGTATAATTTAAATTCTTGGCTCTTTTGTCAAATGCATCTTCTTGGGTATCTGAAATATAAAAGAAATATACATTTTACATTCAAGTCTTAAATTTAACCTGCAGAAACCCTGTTCCTGTGTCCTTGTTTTCAGCATCCGTCTCTTTTTCAGCATGTTTAAAAGCATCAGTTTTATTTGGACCAGATCAGACGTTATTCCCCTGATAAGTCGGACAGAGTTGAGTTGGTTTGCCCTCCATCTGTCAGCTTTAGTGGTCCTGTGAGGTTGGGTGGCGACATTGTTTTAGCCTCATGTTTCACTGAGGTGCATTTGATCTGTAATTCAACCAAGCAGATTAAATGGGACAAGAGAAAAGAGGACACAGAAACCCTTCACTTTGATGTTTTTTTGTGTATAAGTTCAGCTTCTGCCTCCACAGTTTCTGCTGTACTGTGAAGGAACCCGCTTCACGGAGAAGAAACACCAAATCAGCATGCAGGTGGCGGAGAGTAAAGGCCTCCCCAAGCTCAAGTATCACCTTCTGCCCCGAACCAAAGGATTCACCACCACGATGCAGTGTCTGAAAGGAACAGGTGCAGTGCATCAGTAAACATCACAAACTGATGAAACCCACAGGTTTTTGTTTCTCACTCCGTTTTCCTCTGTTTCAGTCACTGCTGTATATGATGTGACTCTGAACTTCAAGGACAACCAGATTCCCACTCTGCTGGACATCGTCAATGGCAAAAAATACAAAGCTGACCTGCGTGTTAAGTGAGTTCATTTTATGCTCTGTATCTTAATAAAACATGAGGAAATGATTCAGTTATGTCCTTTATCAGCTGGCTGGACTCCAGCGTCTTAATGGGTTCATAATAATGGCTCCAGACGGATGAAATCCATTCATAATGACAACATCATTACTGATTGCTTAACCTAAGTTAGACAGAAATGCATAAATATGTCTGATGTATGAGGATTTCCTTGTCGGGAAAGAGTCGGGTAGCTTCTGGGATTTAAATGAATTAGCAGAGCGCCCTCTGGTGGCTGAAAGCAAACACTGCACACCACATGTTTCTCAAAAGTCTTAAACTATTAAATTTATTCTGATCATTTTCAAGATCTGGGAAAAATTGTGCTTCTTCCAAACATTATTAATTTTAAATAAATCTCAGTGATTAAAGGTGAGGAGAAAATGACTTAAAAATTAAAGTGACAGTAATATTCAATACATTATTTTCCTCTTAATATGCAACTATAATGAAATTCAGTAAGAACAAAAGGAATAGATGGCAAAAATAACTAAAACTGGTGTGTGTGTGTGTGTGTGTATATATATATATATATATATATATATATTTTTTTTTTTTCCTCAAAATATTGGCATGTTCCAAAAAATAACTGATAAATAATAAGTATGTCAACTTTAAACATTCCCAAAAGACATTAAGGAAAAGCCAGAACCAGATTTCAGTTTCTTTGTTTAACTAATCAGGAGTTGGTAGAAAACATAAAATGTGTTGAGCCTGGAGCTGGAAATCTTTTGCCGAAGGAAAAAGGTCCACAAAGTTGAAGATGGAGGCATTTTATCCTATTATCATTATTATTATTTTTAAATGTTGTCACTTCAAACAAAAACTTTCTGTTAGAGATTTACTTCCACCTGGAACTACAGCTGCTGGTAACCAATACTGGTGAACCGATTGCAGTTTTCTGACCAATTCTGATTTTGACCAATACCAATTTTTTTTTTTTTTTTTTTTTTTGTCTGAAATGTCACTAAATATAATTTGTGACCTTTATGACTTAAGTTTAAAATCTCTGCCTGGATATTTATGCTTATTTTAATTGTACGCAGTTCTTTAAATGCCCTGTGAGTAAATATATTTGCCCATTCATCCATAACAACTGGAAGTTTCAATATCTAGCAAGTTATTTCTGTATTTACCGTCTATTAACAGAGCGCCCCTCAGGTTAATTTCACTCCCTGAAGAGGCGGGAGTGAAATTACCGTAATAATCTGATATTGGCTGGAAAGCACAGCGTTTCCTGTTCTGGGCCTCCGCTTTCAGAAACCACTGGAGTTTTTCAGATAGCGCAAAGTGTCGCAGAGTTACGGTTCTGCAAATTTGGCTGTATCATTGCTGCTCCGTTTGGTCTGGAAGGACTAACTGCAGACATGACCTGGTGGAACGGCTTGTCAGTAAAATGTTTCTCATGTGAGAGCAGAAAAGGACAGTGGCTGATTTTTAGACCTTTGATGAGGTAGATAAGACCAATCAATAACATTAAAGTATCGACCAATCTCCCAAAGTTAAGGAAATCAGCTCTGATAAACCTGATGTGACGACTTGTTTTTGGTGGATTTCTGACTTTAATCCCTCTAACCGCTGACGTTCTCCCATCCAGGCGGTTTTCTGTGGAGGATATTCCGGACGATGAACAGGAGTGTGCCAACTGGCTGCACAAGCTGTACCAGGAGAAAGTAAGATGGAACCTGACTGGATCTTTACCTCCTTCATGCATGTTTCAGTGGTTGTGTGTCTTTTTGTGTGTTGAATGCATTGCTTCTGTTGCTTTGTGTGTCAGGACGCCTTACAGGAGCAGTACAACAAGGAAGGGAAGTTCCCCGGACCCACAATCATCCCCCCGCGCCGCCCGTGGACGCTGATCAACTTCCTGTTCTGGGCCACCATCCTGTTGTCGCCCCTCATCAAGTTTGCATGTGGTGTGGTCGTCAGCGGCTCCCCGCTCCTCATCATCGGTTTCATCGCCTTCCTCATCATCGGTAGGTTCAACGGGCGCTGCTTGGAAAATATAATCCAACTGTGTTCATGTTGATGTCCTCTTTTACCCTCTTTTGTCTTTGTTTCTGTTTTTGTCCTCTTCCAGCCTCAGTAGCTATTCGCCGTCTCATCGGCGTCACAGAGGTGAAGAAAACAGGCTCCAGTTACGGAAACCAGGAGGCCAAGAAGCAAAAGTAAACTGTGTGACCCCCCCACTGCGGCGTCTCGCTCCCCGCCCAACTCCATCGTCCTCCTGCCATCGGCAGGCCGGGGAGGAGGCTCACCTGTGAAAACAAAACCAACACCAGAGTCAAAAACAGAGAAGAGAATCCTGCCTTCAACGGAGGAAGAGAAGAAGATGAGAAGCTCTCTGGTTTATCACTGATTACGAGGAGGGGGGAGATCCAGTACTGTAAACCCACCAAACTCCCAATTAAGTCCGTTAAACAAGAATCATAAGGTCATTTTCTAAAAGCCACGCCCACTTCCTGTCAGCTGTTGATTCCTTTGAAGCTCACGCAGCACGTCCTGATCCACATCGATTCATTTCTGTTCTGCACTGCTTCTTCCCAACACCAGGATCCATCGTTCCCCTTGTTCTGATGGAAATCGGTGCCTTTCGGCCCAGCCTGGCTTTCCTTAATCAGTTCAGAGCCTGCTTCACACAGTGCTCCAATTTCTACAAGTAAACCACAAAATGGCTAAAATTATTGAACTGATTGCAAAAAAATGGGAAATAATTCAGTGAAAAGACAATTAGAGATGCACCAGTCATAACCCAACATCCAGCCTCTTGATTTAAGAACATTAACGTATTAAAAGTGTGTTTTTGAAGCATAATAAGAGGATAATTGCTGTCAAAAGAAACTGTTTTCTAATATTTAAGCATTTTATGCTAGTAATTGCTCAGTCACCTTATTGTGCACTGCAAAAACACAAAATCTTACCAAGTATTTTTGGTCCAGTTTATAGTGCAAATATCTGTTTTTATATTTCAAGTCTAACTAACTTTAAAAGTAACTTTTCAGCAAAATACAATTGCTTGTTTTAAATAAATAATTCCTTAACAATTGATTAAAAACAAGAGAGTACTGGTTCCACTGGCAGATGTTTTACCTTATAACTTACATTTCTCCCATGTTACAGGTAAAATAAAATCTGCCAGTGAAACTAGTACTTTTTTGTTTAAATTAATATATTTATTTTTGCTATTAAACATTTACAAGCTGCTGTTTCATGCTGAAAAGTTACTTATAATAAGCTAGTTTTTGTATTTTTCAATGTGTCGTAAGATATTTGCACCAGAAACTAGACCGAACATACTTGGTAAAGGTTTCCAACACTTTTCCAAACAAATGTTGCCAAGAAAAGGTCAAATTTCTGTAAACGACTTATGTTTTCTTCCTTCAGCAGCCACTTCCACACTGAAGAGGGATGTTTCGGTGCATCTCTAATCAGCTGCTTCATTGTCATCTATTTAAAGTGAAATGAATCGTTAATTTAGTTGGAAATTCTTTCAAAATTGAGTTAAATATAAAGTTATAATCCTGACTTTAGTCTCTCAGACGGGCTGGTGTCTGCTGAGCTGCAGCAAGGGCTCTGAATGTGAAACCGAGGAAACCTGCCCTCATTTAAAACACAAACTTCCTGTTTTTCCTCCATTTCTCCTACCGGATTTCAGCTCCACACTTAGGAGTTTGTTTTCTCACCGACATGTAAGGCGGACGACCTCCAACCTCCTAAACGTGCCGTTTCGACCTCCTTCCACCCTCGCAGCTCACGGTGGAACATGTATGGCAGCAGATTCAAGGGTCAAAGGTCACCAACTGTCTTCATGTAGCCACACAGCTGTTAGCATAGACTGCAGTAGGAGTATTTTTAACCTTTGCCTTAAATCAAGCTTGCTCAGGCAAGGGATTGCTTATTTACCTCCCTTTGAAACGCATAACGCCACTTTTGTTATGTTTTAAATCTTCACCCTTCATTCCTGTCATTACAATAATGCATGGTGGAGTAGGAGGAGTTAATTAACAAAATGACTGAATCATTTAAACCGTGGACTAATAGGAAGATGTTAATTGAAGGGATTTATTTTTGTTTGGGGGGAAAAAATCACTTTAAATGTTCAAAGTGGACAAAAAAGGAATTGTTTTGTTTAGGAATAAAAAAATCAATCTGTAAGAGAAGATAAATTGCTTTATTTGATTAAATGACTTATAGGAAGTTGGTTTTTTGTTGCATCAAACCCACTTTTTTAAATCTCTGAGTTGTTTTTTTATAGAAAAATCTTTTGTTATCCACTTTAAATAATTTCAGATGATTTCTAGGAAACTTTTTGGTTGTGTTTGAATAAAAATCACTGTTGAATACATTATAGGAAGATTTTGATTTCTTGAATATAAAATTGCAGGCAGGTTTTCCACATTTTGAAAGCAAAGCATCGTTATTTTCAGCAGAGAAACGTCCAGTTCTTCTTTCTGTAGTCGTCTATAAACAGATTTCATGCAAGCCTTAATTAGCATCAAAAGAACCACACAATTTAAAGAATAAATGGATCCTAAATCAGCATTTATACATGTAGTAATTTAAATTAATTTGGACTTTTGTTCAAAGGAATAAATACATGGATAAATTTAGAATATTTATCTAGAATGTATTTATTTCAATCATTTGTAAAATGTAATTCAATGTAAAAAAACATTAAATGTAATTTGAATTTATATTAAAAATATTCTTAAACATGCAGTTGGTAAATATTGAAAACATTTTTAAAAAATTTACAAATGAATTCAAATTTCAGTTAATGTTTTCCACCAATCTTTGAAATACTGGAAACATTAGTTTTTATCTAAATTGTCACAACTAATAAAGTTTATAGACCACTTATTTAATTGAGGCTCTTAATAAATTAGTTATTAGTATTTATATTTTTTAATATTTAGAAGTTAACTCATGTGGAATTGGAAAATTTAAGACAATTTTATCTGGTAAATTTGCAGCTTCCTGTGATTAATTCATGGTTTTTACGCCACTAAAAAGGTTCTTGCATCTCTCTTTATCATAATCAGAATTTTCCCAACAATTTCTGTCACTCTAGATAATCAAATTTAAAAAGTCCAAAAATGCTTTTATTTTTCTGTTTATTTTCTAATTAACAAATTAAAGCCCAGCTATAAGCACTTCACGCTGGAAAAATCTCCAATTCTCCCCGTTAGTTGCACCTCTTGCATCAGCTGTTTTTTTGGGGTTTTTTTTTTTTTGGTTATTTTTCTACAGCTTTTATGTTTTCTTCCATTTAAACACTTGAGATTATTAAAGGATTTAATCACAAAGCAACTCTTACTCCCTGGATTTCTTTGGCTTTGTCCGAGTTTCTCTGCATGAACACGCAGCCATGCAGGTGACCGGAGCGCAGCTTCTCCACCCATGTTCAGAGTCTCATTCATTCACCTTGTTTTTCATGACGCATCCACAAACTTCACTAAATTAATATGCGACACATTAATATGTAAATAAGCCAAATCTGAATGTCCTTTAGAAACTAGAGCTGTGCGTAGTTGCTTTTATTAGTACTCCTCCCTAAAATAAATGGGTTTTATGTACATAATGTAAATAATTACGATGCTTTGTTTAGAAGAGGTTGGTTTTCCACATTGCGCTTCTTGGACTGCACCGTTATTTCAGGCTACAACCAAATCTACCACTAGGGAGCAGCAGTAGAAGGCTTAAAGTGATGAATACCTCCAGTGACCAGAAGAGATCGAGGTTAAATTTTGCTCCCACAGCGGTTTTCAGTCTGAGCAGTCATTAATCATTTCTTACTGCACTCCTTTAAATCTTTTTTATTGCATGATGTACTTTACTGCACAGGCAGCGAATCGAGTTCATTCTGACTCAGGGATTCTTTTACAGACTGGTGATGCAACTGCTGTGGCATTAACTCTGAATCTGAATAAAGAGGCTTTCTGGGGAAGATGCCTGTGTGTTTCTTGATGCTGTTGCCACTGTAGTCATCATGGTTTGTGTAACAGAAAAATTTGATTTCTTGTGGATTCTTTGGATATCTGTTAGGATTGCTATCTAAAATGTTTGCACAGCTCAAATGACGGAAAATAAGATGTTTTCCTGTAATAAGTTCTTTTCTAGCATTAGCACATTTAGTATTGCATGATGGACAGCACTAAGACCCTCCCCCTGGCTCTGATTGGTTGATTTTGACAGGAGCAGTGCATTTGTTCAGATAGCAATAATTGCTCAGGCAGGAGGTGGAAGAGGTCATATCATACTGTAACAACATAGTGAAAATTTTAATAAATATGTAAAAACATTTTTTATAAACGTTACATACTGACAGGGATGGCTGGTATAAGTGAGCCAGTAGAGATAAACCCCCACTAGTTTAAAATAAACATGTTAAAATACCTAATAAACACAAATTAAAAATAATTTATCACATTTTGTGAAATTTACAACAGAACCAACCCCTGGGTCTTCCCAAAGGGCTAACTTCTCATTTATTCAGTGCCGTCCGTTTCTCTCTGGCCGCCTGCATTCAGAAGAATGACAGACGTTTGGCCACGCCCCCTCGGTTTGGGGGACTCAGCCAATGAGGATCGACGTACAGTAACGTGGCTAACGTGCAAGTGTACGTGGGTGTTTAGCTAATGGCAAGTGTAGCAACTAGCTAACAAATCTCTTTCCTGCTTTTGGTGTTTGCTGTTTAGAGGAGTCACAGCTTCAACCCAACAGAGAATTATTTATCTAAAATATTTATCTTACAAAAATAAATAAACAAATAAACATAAGTCCGGCACAAGTCTGATTGGGAACCGTGTAAAGTTATCACCTATCAGTTGGATGAGGGCCACCGCATCGCAGTATGGAGGAACAACACGTTTCTGTCATCAAGCATGAGGTTATTAACCTTTTTGTATCCCAGAAAAGTCGTCGTCGGAATGAGCTTCTCTTTAAATAAGGTAGGCCTCATTTGTTTTATCTTATTTCATGAGTTTGATTGTGTCGAGTGAGATGCAGTTATTAGAGGGGCAGAAAAAAAAATCACAATTCTCTCTCTGGGGAGACTGACTCGTTCAAAATGCTCAAATTGACTTAAGTCTGCTTAATTATCTTTAAAATTATATTTTGAATAATTCTTTAATATTTTTTTAATTTAAGAAAAAGGTAACCCAATACTTGTTCATTTAAGTTACACAATTGCACTTAACTATTTTTATTTAGGTATGGCGCATTAAATAAGTGAAATGTTAGCGATTGGGGAAGCAGATGTTTCTCAATAGCCAAGGGTCCAGAAACTCAGCGTTATAATTTACAACTTCGCCTTCTGTTTTCTGATTTGCCTGGTTAAAAATCTACCAAAGGGTGTGCTGTGGTGGCGCAGGGGTTCAGCACAACCCACATATGGAGGCCCAACGCAGCTGTCGCAGGTTCGATTCCTTGCATTGGCGACCTTTGCTGCATGTCTTCCCCCTTCTCTCATTGCCCACTTTCCTGTCAATTAACTATCAAATAAAGGACACTAGAGCCAAAAAAAATCTTTAAAAAACCCCCAATCTGGTTAAAAAAAGCTTGAGAAGGCAAAGTCTGAGAATGATCTCCATGTGGCAGGGACTTAATCAAAATTCACATTTTGCACTTTTTGGTTCTTCGATTTGGCCCTTAACTCATTCTAAAAACAGCCAAATGCTTAATAAAACCGCCCAACCATTATTT